TGGAAGTCCTAGATGGAATTAGAGTCCCTAACACCTGTCTGTAAATATTTTTGTCGGGCTCTTTTCTTCCACGGAGCCCTTATGCCCTGAGCAATGGAGAGTGGAAGAGCAATGGTAACGGGTGGGGAAGGGAAAGAAGTACTAAAACTCAGGGCATCAAGATATTCTGTTCTACACATGGATTGGGTGACAGTGGAAACTTCCCATGGTAGGAAGCCATACACTAACTAATGATGCAAGGCTCATATAATCATTCCTCTAAAATGTATGATAAAGGAGTTAGTTTTAGTTTCACGAGCAGCTTGATTAAGTCAATTAAGCAGAGAGGTGGGATTCAGTGGCCATGGTCATTTGTATTTCAAGACCATGTTTGTTACTGAGTCACTTTACTTTGTACTTTTCACTCCTAGCCAACTTACATTTAAGATGACTTTAATCAGGGTAAGCTATTAGCTGCTTCTGCTGAAATGCTGGCACCGTTTCTGAATGTCGGTTGAGGACTTTAAAAGGGAGGACCCAGCATCCATAAAATGGTAATTGTCCTTCAAGTAGCCTTGGTAGTTATGATTACACCCACTCCTCCATCTTCACTCTCGGTGCCAGGCTGGAGATAGTAAGTAATAAGACTAGTCACTGTTGCAAAATGGTTCCAAACGTGGGCTTTGGGATCAGGCAACTCGGGTTCAGTTCCTGACTCTCCTACTCACAGGCTGTGTGATCCTGGGTGAGTTTTTTTGCTTCTCCAAACCTTTCATTATAATCCATGGAAATCCCATTGCACTGTGCCAAGTACATAGTAAACCCTGAAGAAACTGACTATTATTATCGTCCTAATAATAAACCTTAGAAGTTATTCTCAAGAAGTTCATGGACTATTAAAAGCTGGACAGAAGCTTACAGGTCATTTAATGCAACATCCCCGCCCCCTGCCCTTTGCAGCTCATGAGGACCGGGGGTGAAGTCACGGAGCAGAGCTATGACTAGGGCACAGGACTGTTTTCCGTTCAACCATGAAACTCTCAGATCTCACGGGAAAGGACAAATAACACTCAGCTTACTTTGATCAATGGTGAAGAGAAAGGGCCAGTGACGACTCAGAGGACATTGACTCTGGGTGGGCTGAGGCCCTGGGGAGGCCCATGGCAGTTGCCAAAGGGGGTGTGTTCAGGAAGAAGGGGAAGGACAGGCAGGTGCTACCAGTGGCCAGTGTCACTTGGTCTCATTAGACTTACCAAACAGATCGCTGATGGGATTAGATTTCCCGGCAGCTCTAGCTTTCCCCACCACCTGTCATGTCAAATTCTTTCATCTGAAAGGATCAGACCCACTGTGCCTAGTGTGCTGATGTTACCTTGGTTGCAACTCCATTCCCATCAACAGTGGGGTTTAACAAGCAGCCTACAGAGCACAGAACTGGGGTCAGCAAACTACGGCCCATGGGCCACATCCAACCTGCCACCTGTTTTTGTAAATAAACTTTCATTGGCACACAGCCACACCCATTCATGTATGTATTGCCTATGGCTGCTTTTGTGCTGTAACAGTAGAGCTGAATAGTGCAGCAGAGGCCCAGTGATCTGTAAATCTTAAAGTATTGATTACTGTCTGGTCCTTTACAGAAAAGGTGGGCTAACGTCTGGCCTAGAGCCTTATCAGCTGCTTAGGAGACAAAGGCCCTCTGCAGACTATGGAAGAATCAGGATGTTTTTATGTCCCTGCGATAAATGAGATTTCACTAATACAACTGAAAAGTAATGCAGACTTAGACAGAATCCCCTTACAATTCAAAGGCCACCTCTTCTTCAGTGTGGATGTGAAAGACAACTGTCCATCTCCTCTGAGGGTGGGTCTGATTCTGGCCTCCCGCTTATTCTGGGGCAGGGAGGAGATGGAAGCAGCTGAAGAGAAAACAAGGCCATTCCATGCATTACTTGGATAATTAGAAGAGCCATCTCTTAAGGACTTTGTGTGCTATAAACTAGGCACTTGCCATACATTATTTTGTGTATTCATTATAACAATCCTGTTAAGTAGTATGAATGTCCACATTTTACAGAAGGGTAAACTAAGGGTGAACTGAGGTCACAGAGTTAGCAAGTGGCCAGGTAGAGATTTATAACCATTTGGCTCCATGTTGTCTGGTGTACATAGGTGCAGTAATTCAACTACCTATGCCTGACTGTTAGAAATATGGTTGACAGAGGCTTAAGTTTGCTCAATCCAAACAAAATAGAGATCTAAGTCATTACTTCTAGAAGTTTGCACTGCAAAATACTATCCTACAAGATACTCATTTAAAAGGTCCAATATGTTTAGAAAACATTGTATACATCACCACCTTCTTGGAAATATATGAAGCCATTAGCAAGTTATGGACTCTGAGAAAACCTGCAGTAAAGATCCTACTCAACTTTGCTTAATGTTGTGTTCCCAAACACTTTAGCATGGAACCCTTTAACTAACAACATCCCATAAAACTGCTATTCCAGGAGACGCACTTTGGGAACTGTTGAACTACATGATTATGATGATGATGATTGATGATAATGGCTAATATTTATTGAGCAACTACAATGAGCCAGGAACTGGCCTAAGCACTTACAAGTATTGATTCATTTAACCCTCGCAGGAACCCTATGAGCTCACATGTTATTAATTCCCCACTTGACAGATGAGGAAACTGAGACACAAAGAGGATAAAACAACTTGCCCAAAGTCGCATAGCTAGTGAGTCCTGGAGACCATGAGCTCCTCAAACTCAAGGATCAGGTTTCAGTTCCTCTTTGCATAGCCAACACTTAGTATGGTGCCTGGAACAAAGTATGCACCCAGAATGTGACAGTTGAACTGAATTGGAAATGAGATCCTAATAAAAAGAAGTGACTAGAGTGTGTTGAATGGAACATTTAAGATCTTTAGTACTTATGCAACGAGGGCACTCCTTCATCAGCTGGGGTTTCTATTTGTTCCACACAAGACCATAGCCTAGGTAATGTTCCTACTACAAAGCATTTTGTATAGAGTAACCATTTTCATATTTTATTTAATAGACCCTACATTTAATGCAGAAATGATAGGAAAATATCAGATAGCGCAGATCCTATTTAGCCACAAAAAATAGTATTTCACTTGAAGGTGCATTAAATTAGGCTTTCTGTCTGGCATAAAATATATTGAGAGAGGCAATACCACATCCATAAGGAAGCACTGCCTTTGTTGGTAGAGTAGATGGATTTTTTTTTAAATGCAGTATAATAACAGCTATTGAGAACAGTCAATAGCAGCTTTTTAAATATTAAAGACCTAAAAATATATCAAGGTCAAAATTAATAGGTAAAATACGGGTGAATTTTCAGTGTAGATTTGAGGGAGGCCAGGGAGCACTAAGGAAGAAAAATCAACACACTTTCAGCTATAAAAGGAAGAGAATAAAAGGCAGCCCGAGAGACTATGTTTTTGTGTCCTGCAAAATAGAAAGGAAATTTTATGTTTAGCACTTTGACAGCTTCAAATGCAGTGATTAAATGGTATTATTTTTTGTCACTTTAACACAGAGCATTCCGGAATGATAAGTATTATAGTAACAATGTGACCCTTAATGAGGGCTTACTGTGCTGTTTTAAGCATCTTATACGTGTAGCCCTAGGAGGTGAGTACTGTCCCCATTTTACAGATGTGGAAACAGAGGCAGAGAAGTAAAGTAGTTTTCCCCGTGATCCCACACCAGTACAAAATGGATTAAGGATTCAAACTCCACTAATCTGGCTTCACAGCCCATGCCACTAACAGCTGTACACACTGGGTAAAAGAGAAGGTTCAAAGGCTCAAGGATGCTCACAGGCCTGGGAGGCAAAATGAATTCTACTACCAATGTCAGGGTACGTACATCAGAAACTCACTAGGTGGACACCAGAGGGCCAAACATGGCAATGCAGAGTTGAATCCTTGCCAATAGGCCCTTCCTTGGTGGTTTGTTCTGTGACAGGTTTCCAGAGGTTGTTATATATCTTACCAGTTAAGAACCCCATCCATTTGAGGCTATGCATTAGTCATGACGGGTAAAGATACGTCCCTCCACCCACTTCCACCACCGGTGTGTGCTAGGATTCCTCACACCACAATCTGACCACATGCATGTCCCTTCAAAATACAGTCGCTTATGAGTAGGTGTATGTATGATGGTGCACCAGACCCCAAGTATTCAGAAACTACCATATGCTGTGCAGTATTCAGGAAAGCCCAGGGAAAAAAAGTTTTAAAGTTCCTTTAGAGAAAGTACAAAAGGCTCCATCTTGATGGAAAGGAAAGATGGAATTTTACGATAAAGCATTGTGCCCACCGTCTCAGTATGGGAGCCACTTGAGAGTTAGACACTAAGCTCTTAAGAGAAATAACAAATTTAGTATTGAGTCAAAACAAATACTAAAATTTTCTCCATAATTGTATTTGTGTTCCAAAATGCCTGCTTCCCCCTCCCCTTATTGTGGGTAACACGTAAGTCAGATGAAACAACCAAAGAATTTGTTTGTTGAGAGGGCATGAGGAGACGTAATAGCATACGGACCTTAAAAGATAAATACCCAAGCCTTGGGAAGAACACTTGACAAGAAAAGGATGTTATTTAAAGAAAGATGTATTCTAAACAGATGAGTCAACAAACTCAATTGGATATAAAAATGGAAATTGAATTGTTAAATTCCAATCGATGAGCATATCAAAAACTTACACATCAAAAAGCATATCAAAAAACATACACACTGCATTTTTGTAGAAGACCATTTAATTCTCATTTATAAACTTTGACTCCCTTACAAAAATAGCTTCTCCCTTCTCAGTTATACATTACCAGCCTTATATCCTTCCTTAATTGTACCTTACACGAGTCTTTCTTTTCTTTTTGAAGTGAATCATCAGTTGGGGTGAACAGTCACAAAAAGTCTGATTTATTAAGCAAACAGACTGGAAGTTGCTGATGTTAAAACACAAATATGTCTACTTACCTGGATGGCTCTGACATTGGAAACTGGCTGTTTCGACATATCGACAAGGTCTTATCCCTAAAAAAACAGGTAAGAAACTGTTAGAGGTGGCGGCATTCAGATTCTCAATCGTGATAAATTTGAATTTAACTCATGATTCAACTGGGCAGTCACCCCTTTCACTGGCCATATATTCTTTCAGTCTCAGTTTCCGGTTACTTAGAGACTCTCCTTCCTAATGCCTCAGGGAGAGGGAACACTAGAGCGCTGGATAAATCATTCAGGAGGAGAAATGCTGAGATGCCTCTCCCCTGATGCTCATGATAGGCAATCAGAAACTTGAAAGGCGCTATCATCTCCTTCCCTGCCCTCTTGCCCCCCTGCCAAGAACAGCAAAGCAAAGAGGTTGTGGGAATAAAACACCTTTGTTTGGGGCCTCAGAAGCTTTCTGCTTGAAACTGAACTTTTGATCTGAACCGAGTTGTTGCCAGGGCTGCACGTCAGTCCATCGGGACCGCCTCGCCTCCGTCAAACACCCAAAGAGAAATGGCCCGTATCGCATTCTTACTATTGCGATGCTCCCTGCTCGCTGTGCTCGTGTCTGTTCTGCACAGAGACCTGGGGGACATGGGCCGCGTCTCCCTGCTCTGTGCGTCAAGAGCCTGGGCTTTGTAAACCAGGCAACCAGGCAGCTGGCAGGCAAGCCTCGCCTCTGTCTTCTTTTCTTTTAACGAATCAGTCTCAGAAGGCAAATAGGACTTATGTGACCATGTCAGATCCCTAAGAGGTAGCAGTGCTTCCTTCCCAAAGGAACTTTGCTTTCTTTCAGTTCGTGAGACCTGACTTAGAGCCCAGGGACTAGTGGCCGAGGTTTACTGGGGCTCAGGGAGCAGGGAACAGCCCAGCTCTGTACAAGTGATGTTATAGCTAGGTCTATTAACTGTCGACAGGACGGAGTGAAAAAGTTTGAAATTCAGTGAATTAAAAACACGCTGCTTTTTAAACCCAAATGATAAACTGGGTTGACTAGAGTTTCCTCAGTTGACTGGTGTAAGTGTGTGGGCTCACTGGTGAGTCAGTGAACACCGAGAGCCGTGTTGGCATTTGCTGCACGTCCGGTGTCCTCTGGACTACGTCAGTCAACATCTCTAGGCCCATTTCCTCTTCCTTAAATTTCACCTGCTTCACAGGTTGTGGTACGAATCAAAATGACATAAGGTTCCTGAAAATGCCTTGAAAACTGTAAAGCATGGTGCAAATATGTATTGTTTTATTGCCATTGCCCTTAGCTGGAGACTTTTTAGTTCTATACTGGTCTACAGCTCTAAGTACAGAGTAAAAACTGCTGTAGTGATGCCCCACACACTTGAGAGATAAAATTTACGATCTGAGAACTCTGAAAAACTTGCTTTATTTTCTTTCTGAGGTCTTCAAAGCCTTAGGCTCTATTATACGAAGTTAAACAATTACATAATTTTTTAAAATCTCTGTAATTAGTATACTCAACTATATAGTCCTTGGAGTCACATACATGAAAACAATGGGATTTTTTTTTTTTTTTACAGTTTCACCTGCATGTTTTGGTAATATACAGATACAGCCTTCATGCATAAGGGTCTAGGTAGAAGTATTTTCAATATGGTTAAAAAAATAGGGACTTCCCTGGTGGCGCAGTGGTTAAGAATCCGCCTGCCAATGCAGGGGACACGGGTTCAAGCCCTGGTCCGGGAAGATCCCACATGCCGCAGAGCAACTAAGCCCGTGCACCACAACTACTGAGCCTGCGCTCTAGAGCCCACGAGCCACAACTACTGAGCCCGAATGCCACAACTACTGAAGCCCAGGCACCTGGAGCCCGTGCTCGGCAACAAGAGGAGCCTGCGCACCGCAACGAAGAGTAGCCCCCGCTCACCACAACTAGTGAAAGCCCGAGCACAGCAACGAAGACCCAAAGCAGCCAAAAATAAATAAATTTATAAAAAAAAAATAAATTTATTTTTTATATGGTTAAAAAGTTAAAAAGCAATAACAAGTTGAACAATTAGGAATCCATTTTTTCTCTATGATATGTTTCAGATAGGTTGCTGTCTTTCCTGCAGTGTCAAAAAGTCAATGAAGGATTTTTATTTTTTGGATCTAGGACACACAGCTCAATTTCAAAAGGAAAAGCTTGGTAGTTTAATTTTTAATGTTTCTATTCCTCAAAAGCTATTAGAAGACATGCAAAGCAATAATTCTCACAGGACTTTAAATATCTCATCATATAGCATTCTCTGAACGTGTACAATTAAAGTTTAACTAATATCACTTGGGAACTTTAAAAAATTTATTGTATGTCAATTTGAAATGTGGGGATTAGGAATTTCTTTATGTTATTACAATAGCAAGTTGAAATGTGGGAAAAAATCAGGCAGTGAATGATTGTGTTATTTATACCGCATTGACTTTTTTTTTAATTAGGCTGATTTTGTTTTTTCGCTAAAGTCCTGGATTGCTTTGTATTTTGTGGACCTCTCAGCCTAGCGGATGGATATTCCTTGGGCCTTGTATAGCATTGGTATAATCTCATTTGCATACAAATTCCTTCTTAACATATACGTCAGTCTGCGAGACAGACACCTCTAGAAAGTTGGTCAGATCCCAGCTCTCATTCCTTGCAAACAGGCTAGATAACGTTTGTGTAAATCATTTCTGCAGCCGTTCCCGCTGTCCTCATTATTCTCAGAGAAATCAGGGCAAAGCACACTGATGAATAAAAATAGACAGTGTTCCCTGGCTCCTTCCCTGGCCCTGCGTTCACCTCCATTAGGGATGCAGGGTGTAGAATGCACCTTCCTTCTGTATCTGCATGCCTCATCCCAGGACCAAAAAAGAAAGCTATGCCTTAGATGCGCAACTCCACTCACACCGGGGCCACAGCTTTTCATCCAAAGAGGTACTCTTTAAAGCACTCTATTACTGTGTCTCCTGGTTCTGGCTACAATTTGAGAACATGGAAAGTTTTACCAGACATATATTGACTTTTACAAAGCCTATACTACAATGGAAATGCTTGCCGGCTTAGCACAGTTGAGCTTTCCTGGCAGTTCTGCAAGTCAGTGGGGATCTTTAATGGTCCGTATGCTGAGTCATGTACAATATACCTCTGCTGGTATTTGATTGGACAGCATCTAATATCTGACTTCTAAGTAAGACTGTTTCACTTACTAAAAATTTGTCAACATTAATATCGCTAATTTAATAAGCAGGGATTCAGAGGAAAATAAATCAATATATGGAGAGAGGGGGCTTCGTTTGTTCTTTTTAAAGGTCAATTAAGTGGCTACAGCTCAGTCTCACAGGGAATTATCTTCTGTCTGCTGCTAAAAATAATTCCCAAGAAGGGTGTAGAAAGATGTTCAGCTGTCCGAACTAAGTCTTTATTCAACGCTGCCTGAGATATGCCGAGAGGGAAGAGACACTCAGCATTGCCACGTATCAGAATCTGGTGCCCACATAGGGAGAGACAGGGCTGCTGCCCTCTACTCTGCTGGGTATGGGGAACACTGCGATCGAAGTGAGGCTTTCAAAAAGATGGGTCTGGAGTATTAATGGATTTATAGGTTGATAGAACTTTATCACTGAGGCCAAGCCTGGTGGTTAGGGAGAGGAGAAAAGCGTTTTAAACTTGTACTGTGTTAACAGCTCTGGCAATAATTTGCATTTAGGTAAACCAAAGAGCTAGCATTATAGCTTTTCTCTGACCCAAATTCTCCTGATTATTTCTAGGCTTACAGCCCGAATCAGTCTGCAGCTGACTGACTGTAATCCTGGCCATAAGAATCAAAATGATCTCATCATGTTCAGGGTCACAGTCATCATATCTGGACCATGGAAATTTTCTTAATGTCCCTATCAATGAAAACTACTTTTAGTTCAATATCCTTTCAACCTCCCCGCCCCCCAACAATTTATAAAACAGAAGCAGCAACATCACCAATGAACAGTGAATTTACAAGGAAGCTACACCCACTGGTTACAAGCCCTACAAAGTTATAAGTAGCCACTTCAAGTTAGGTAGCAAGGAAATTTCCTTCAGAAAGCCCAGTTGCCTGAGCTGGGTCCTCCTGCTTACCTGCTTTATGTACTTGTTTCCTGCCTGAGGAAAGTTCCAGGCAGCCAGGTGCAAGAATACAAGGCTTCTCAGTGAGTGGAAGGGACGCCCGGTGTCCTCTGAGCCGCGATCTCAGTTCCGATGCTTTTCATGTGGCTGAAATAGCTCAAGTGCTCTGTGCCTCACCCGGTATTGAGAGCTGCTCCTGGCTCGGGGCTGGAGGGGAACTCGGTTTAAGGATAAGTGTTAAAGAGAATTCCTGTCATAGCTCACAGTTGTTCTTCCTAAATATAGAGTTTGATACAAGCCATACGCTGCCTCCAAAAGGCTTGACCGTGCTGAAAGCAGGGCTCAAATGTCAGCCGGATGGTGACTCCGGAATCTTACTGCCTTCCTAATCTTCCAGAAGATGCTGGTTGTGTTTTCTCACAACTTCTGAGGGGGCACAGGAAAGTTTGAAAAGTAGGAAAAGTTTCTATCTTTAGCTTTATTACCCAGAGGTGAGAAGACCCAAAGTGTTCAAAAAAAATTGGAGAGAGGCGGCACGGCACCACAAACAGTGTTTGAGTCCTTGCTTGGTCACTGAGGAGCTGAGAAAGTTATTTCATAATCAACACTCAGATTATGATGAACTACCAGATGTCATCCTTTTCGTCGGTCAGAAATGGTCACAGATCAACTGACTCGTGTGGTTCCAGGGCCCAGAGTCCTTACTCTCTCTGCTCCATACCGCCCCTACTCGTGGCAATGACTTTGGCCCTACAGTACATGAGGCAACAGAACAAAACAAAAGAGAAAATATCTATCTTAAGTATGACAAGGGCCAGGACCAGGTATGAGGCAGAACACTTTTTAAAGAGAACACTGCCAAATCCTAAAGCACATGCTCATTATTTTTAACACTACTTTTAATTTTTTTTTTTTTTTTTTTTTACTTCTCTAGCCTCTAAAACTACCTTTGCATAGAACTCCCCTTCAGTAGAAGGACTAAACAGAGTGGACTCACTTATAATTCATCCAGTGGATGAAAGTGAGGGATGACTGAGTCCCTCAGCACGGTCAGCTGCTGACCCATCACCAGCAACCAGTCCTCTCGTTATGTGAGGCAAAGAAGCTCCGATCTGTATGAGCCCTTAAAGTCAGATGTGAGTTCCCTGCAACTGAATGCATTCCGAGCACTTGATTTCAGGTCAGTAAAGAGAAAACCAACTTTCCAGTAACTTGGGAGGTCAGCAGATAATTGTGCGTCATCTCAGTTTGGGGTTCACCATTAAGTTCTGTTCATGTGCTGTTTAAAAGAATTTTGTCTTCAAAATTCAGTTTAGACATTGTACTTTGAGATCATATGGCACCAAAAGTGAGTTCTTTACACACTGGGGAAGAGATTAGGGTAGGCACCTTAATATTTCCCCAGATGTTTGGCTGCTCCTCTGTGTTCAGAGCCCTTCACCAGACAACAATGAGCCATTTTTGACCCCTGGCCCTGCAGCCAGCCCATACATTTTGCCACAGTCCTTTTGCCCCCACTGACCCCTCAGTAGCTACTGGTGTGGCATATGTTAAGGAAAGTGCTCCTGGCGGCAGTGCCTTGTACACAAGGCTGGCCCAACGTGGACGTAGCTGCCTCTGTGGGAAGAACTGAGGCGAGCTTCATAATCGGGACTTCTGTAGCCATAAGTGACAGAAACGCAAAGTGAACTAGTTTAAGCCCTGAGGAGGTGTGGCAGACACGGTTGATGTCTTTCTCAATATTGCTCTGCCCACCTGAGTTCTGCAGCTATAGACAGTCCGCAGGACACTGTCAGCTTCTCACCTCAAAAACCTGAATCTCTCCGCTTCTCCACATTGGGGCTCTCTCCATCTCCAAGGCAGGTTGCCTGGGTGTGCTGCAGGCATGACCCAGAAGTGCCAGGGAGCAGACACCCCTAGGGACAAATCTCAGCCAGTAGGGATGGAAGTCGGTGATAAACGCCCCACCTCCCCATCCTCTGGTGGAATGACTGTGAGATATGGTCCAGTTTCCAGAGGTCCCCAGCAGGACTGAGCCTCAGTTGCCCACAGCAGGAAACGACTTGCTCATTATTACACCCTTATTGGTTTTTTCCTTTCTCTCTCTCACTTCCCCACTCCCTCACTTACGTTCTCTGGGATCATCACCCAAATACACCACCAATCAAACAAGACCAAGTCCTTGTCTCCGTGTCTGGATTTGATGCAACCCAAACCAGGACAAGGGGGTTCACTGGGAAAGCTTCATAGTGTGGCAGGAAAGGCATGGGGTGCAGGTGGGCCTCAGAACTAACCAGAACCAAGAACTCAGACCTCACTAGAGAGTGCCAAATCTATTTCTCCCACTCCAGTTTTTAAAATCCCAGGGTTCTGATTGCCCCATCCTGAGTTAATCACCAAACTCCTGGCCAGGTCACCTAGCATACAGGAGGCCATTGGGGTGCACACCTATGGAGGAGGTCCTTCCCAGAGAGGGGAATAGTTGTGACCTGAACAGCCCTCCCAACTGAGGTCCCCAAAAAGCACTAAGAAGCCAAGTGCTTTTCCGTGATCTACTCTTGTCACCCAATCAGTTTAAGGCCTTATATAACAGAGAAAGCCCCGGGCACACACCAACACATAACTGCATTGGTGGGCAACAATTAACTGGGCCCGAGGTGACAGGCACAAGATGAGTCCATGTCTTATTGGGGAAACTGAAATGGGAGAAGAAGGAATAAGAAAGCATCTTTAAATATGAGAAATGGAGAACTAGACAGTACTGGGCATTGAGGGGACAGCTTGAGACCTTTGGGAATATTTCATTGGAGATCATGAAAGAGGGGCAGCATTGGGGGTTGTTGGCAAAAACCAAATTCACTTAAGCCATTTCTACCTGCATGCCTTCATCCCTCCTCCACGGCAGTCAAACAGCAGGAGGATATCTAAGAACACCTTACGTCTATATAGCCCTTGTGGAGTTGCAAAGCATTTTCATTTGTAGTTATTATATATTTCATTTAGCCCTCCCAACTACACTGTGGGTTAAGTGGTATTATTCCCATTGTATAGATCAGTAAGTCGAGGCTCAGAGTGTTAATTCAAAGCCAGTTATCCCACCTTTTTGACTCCCATATTTAGTGTTCTCACCTGTTACACCAAAGTCCTCAAGGAAGCACACTCACGTGCACGCTCCCACATAAGCACTATGTACATGGTATCAGGTAGGATGCATTTAGTTGCAAGTAACAGAATACCTGACTAGCAGTGGCTCAATCAATAAAGTCATTTAACCATTTCACAAACCTAGAAACCTGAAGTGAGGTAGTTCCAAATTGGTTCAGAAATTTCATGAAGTCAAAAAGACCCAGGCAACTTCCAGTTCTTCTACTCTGCCACTCTCTACAAGTCAGCTTTTCATCCTCATGCTTCTTACCTCATGTTCTCAAAATGGCTGCCACAGCTCCAAGAATCAGGATCTTTCACTAGCATCCAAACAATACAGAATGGCAGTGATGGTGGGAAAAGTGGCTTTCCTCTTGTCAGGGAGGAAACTCTCCCAAAGCCCCAGCAGACCTCCCCTTACATCTCGTTGGCTGGAACTGGGTCTCATGGCTGCAAAGGAGGCTAAGAAAATAAATAAGTAGTGGAGGGTGAATGGAGTAGAAATGGTTAGCTAAGCTCAAATATCTCATATAAAATCAGGATGCTCTTAGCAATGAAGACGAAAGAGAATGGTATACATATAGAGTTTTATAGTGGAAAATGTGCTTTCACACACAGAATCTCATTTAATCCTTACCACTTTGTGAAGCAGATGTTGTTTTTATTTATCTCCATTTTATAAATGACAAATCATCCTGAAAAAGGTAAACTCACATGCCTAACAAATGTCCAAGTCAAAACCCAAATCTAAGTCTTCAGGGTCCAAATTCCATGGGTTTCCCCTTGTTCCTCTACATACAAGCCAACAGAGAGAGCCAAGCTGCTCAAACCATTGCCCAGTCCCTCAGTGCTCTCGTGGGTAAGACTCCTATCATGTACCCCAAATTACAGGCTTCTTTCAGGTTCCTCTTTGCTCAGTTCTTCTCTATCCTGGGCCCACCTACAGTTTGGGCAAAGAGGAAAATAAATCATAATATGAACATTTTTAAATGAATTAACAGATAACTATTTGTACCATTATGTGTAAACATGTAACCTCTCCCCACAAAAAAAACAAACAAAAAACTGTGTAGGCTGACAGAGAGAAGAAAATATTAGCAAATGAAGAATGATTAGCTAGGAAAAAAGAATTATGAAAAAGAAACTAGCTATGACCTTTGAAAACACTCTATTTTCCCATAGCATTCACTTCTGTGTTCAATTTAAATTTTTGACCCTATAACTATGAACAAATCAATGCTTGTTTTTCATGCAGGAGAGCAGGTGACAAGGCTGGTCCCCTGAGGTACATACTATGTGATGACTTCCTTCCTTACCTGACTGTGTGAGCCAAGCCACTTCTCTCCTTAGCCCCTGTCGTATGCCATGATGCAGTGGCCATGCTTCTGTCTCCTTCCTTGGAACTTAGCTTTCTTCCACGAATACCCACAGAGAGGAAAAATTGTTTTTCTAAGAAGTAGTGTGCAGAGTTATAACTCTACCCATAGGAAAAAATCTTTTATATACTTATGCAGAAGAGTTTAGCATCTCCTTGTCTACAGACTTCTCATTTCAGAAAGAGACCTCTGTTTCACATTTGTACAGCTCAAGAGCTTTTTTTCCCCAAATATTTTCCTTGCCCAAATAAAGGGGCTATCTAGCCTCAGAGGTGAATTCAGACTTCCATCTCCAAAAGCACAGTATCTGCTCCTCTGTCCTCAGAAAAATTGCACTCCCAGCTTTTAGCTAAGTCATCCTTTCCCATGAGAATACTATTTCACTCATTTATTCATACATTCATTCATCACGTGCCATCATTGTATCGAGTGCCTACTATGATCCAGGCATAGCACTAGAAGCAGAGGGTTTAAAAATGAGTAAGATATAGCTCTGTGTTCCAGAAGCCTGTTCACCATGGCCTGGTCAAGGAGACAAACAAGTAAATAACTGCGTGGTTATTGGACTTATGTGCTATACACAAACTGTTACAGGAACTCAGAAGAAGGTGCCCCTAACTCTCCCACGATGCTGAGGGCTTTACAGAGAAGGAATGTTTGCGCTCAATGTCCTGCGCTTCTACTAAATGCCAGCACTGTCCTATCCCCACCATCCC